AAGCAATAAACATTTTTTCAAATATTTCTTTTTCTTTTCAATTTATAACAACTAGAATATGGTTTTTCTTCAATTGAAGAACATGGCACTCCAAGTTGAATTTTTTTTAAAAAAAAAAGATTTCAATGGTCAGGATTCAAGGCAGTCGCAGGTTGGATCAGTTATTGTACACTTAAAGATTAATTTTTCCTCCATCTTAATAATGCATCTCATATTAAGGTTTAATATATTTAAAGAAATTAGTTTGGTAAGACTTGAATTCTGAATTTTACTTATAACACTACCCTTATTATTAGTGAATCCAATCTTTAAGATTCTGATTGTGAATTAAATTGCAAAGGTTCAACAATAAATACATATACTAGGCTTTGTTTGACTATGTCTTTCATGTCCCCTTTTTACCTAGTATTATATTTAAAAGAAAAAGTGTTTATTAGCTCTATCCTTACAAAAATTAGAAGGAAAAAGATTAAAAAATTATATTATTTTAATAAATTATCATAAAAAAAGACAAATAACCTATTTTCAAAGTAAAATAAGATTATTTTCACCTTTTTTTCACGCAACTTTATTGGAACTCCATAGTTTTATGTTTTTTTTCTTTATTTTTTTAGAAGTTTAGTTAACAAACACTAATCTCATACAGCATTTAAAAATGTATATTATTCTTAATTAATTTTAATTATTCTTTATACTTCTATTGATTTTAATTAATATTTTACATATTTTTAAACAATAAAAGATATAAAAAAGACCCATAACTTCAATATAGTACAATAATTACAAACTAAATTTAAAAAAATTCTAGAAAGACGAAATGACAAAATTATAAAATATAATTTAAAAATTAATACTCTATTTATTTTAAAATAATTATATTTTTATTTAATTTTATTATTATCACTTAACTTTAGCTATCAATTAATCTTGTAATTTAATTTTTTTATTTATAAATATTAAATTATTTTCAAATTCTTAATTTATAAAGAAAATAAAAAAGGAACATCTATTTTGGACAGGAGTAACATTTATCAAACTCAAGCTAGCAAAAACTCTACCCAACGTGCGGCTTGAATTTCTTTTATTTTTTGGAATGCCACAGGTACCATTTCGATCTAGAGATGACGACTTTTAGCAGGCGAAAAATTCTTCGCCAACATCCCATCTCTTTCCGAATAACGGACCTATCCATCCCTAACAAATTCTTAGATAAAAAATAAAATTTTTAGTAAGATTGAAAAGAATTCACTTCACGTGAAAAAATTGTTCCAACATATTTTATAGTGAAAAAAGTGGCCATTAATGGTGAAAAAATGGCCCCACGCTTAAGAGACTATACCTTATTAATAGTTAAGAGGGTAGTGCAACATGGTTAGTTTTGCACAAAACTTTTTTACTTCTTCGTTTATTTTTAATAGTTTGAACTTAATTTTTTATATATAAACTTTAAATAAAATTTTAATAAATTATATACATAATAATTAAAAAAATTTTAATTATTATTTATATAATATATTAAATTTTCATCTAAAATTTATATTAAAAAAATTAAAAAATTAAACTATAATTACTAAAAATGAATAGATAGGGTAAAAAAAATAACTACTTATTTAAAAACATGTACATAAAAAGTAGTTACTAGATAACAATCTTTTTTGGCAAAAAATTCTTTTTAAACAAAATAAATCTTGTATCTTTCGATTTTTTCAATGAATGCATATCTTCTCATGGGAGAAATATTGGCGATGAAAATTTCCACCTTTTTTCTTTTTAAACTAACATTTCAATATTCAAAAGTTATATTAGATTTTGATTAATTTGAAATCAAAATGAGAAAAAAAACTCTCTCAATATCTATTCCTGTATTTATAAAATTTAAAATCAATATTTTATTTAAAAAGGACTGTTATCTCAAAAAATCTCCTTGACATATAGTAGATGAAATGATGTGCCACTTACTTTGCTCAAAACAAGAAAGATTTCTCTGACGACCCTCTCTTCTTTCCAAGCACGGAACTTAGTTTATGAGTTGATGGAAGAATGTTGTAAATTATGCCTTAAAGATCAGATGATTGGCAAAAACGAGAGATGAACTTTCTACATTAAATAGGTTATATGACAAAATGCCTTAGATATGATTCCAAGGACTCCTCCAAACTAATGTAATAAAAAGAGGTTAAGACTGCAAGGAAAATAAATGATCGTTGAACTACTGAGAATCTAAATGAACTTTAAATATGCAATTTGGGTTGAAACAAAGCTTTAAAAGGAAATTTAATTGTAGAAAAAGTAAATTAAGTTAAAGTAAATAAAATTGGAAACATGGAAAATCTACTGGCAGCATGAAATATAAATTAACAGAAATCAAATTGAACATGAAATTAAATGTCAACATTTGATTAAATTAAAAGAAACTTGGAAAACAAATAAAAAGGAAAGGAGGCAATTCGATTACAAAGAAATATTATTGAAGGCAATGAAACTCACCATTGCAAATTCGACAAAAGGAGAACTGAATTGCTAAAACTAATCTAAGATGAAGTGTAGAGCTAAAACTAACCTAAAGGGCTTGAAACTAAGATGAATTTGAGCATAAAGAGAAATTTTGCTGAGTTTTCTATGTGGGATGTCGATCCTTTGTTTGATCTTATCACTAGGTGTTTATAGCACTTTGGCAGCATGGTGGGGATCTACGGTAGCGTGAAAGTTGAAACAAACCAATTAATTTGTTGATGCTGCTTATTATCCTCTTGGAAGCTCGCAACAAAAGAACGGTTTTGCTATCGTTATGGAAATAACTACTCAATCTTATCCGGAGACATCTACAGCAACAACCTTCAATCGGTGAAATACTTGCCAACATGGATGACACGTGGCATCATCCCATTTGTTGTAAAATTGGGTGTAAACATTGCCCCTTAATTTTTGGCGTTATAGGAGTAGGTGCCAAAAATTTAAGGTCCTAAGTAGTAGTACTCAACTTGTTTGTTCCCTTTTCCTCTTTTGTAAGCCTCAAATTTCCTTTAGGGCTTCCTTCCTTTTCATGCTTTTCACTTTTGTTGTTTACGATTTCGTTTCTGTTTTGGAATCAGAAACGTGGCCGACTGCAACTTCTGCAACGTAATTGTAATTCTTCACTGCTTAGGACTCATAAACATGATCGACTCCAATTTATTATAAAACACAACCACTCCATCATCACGAATTTGTGGTGTTTCTCTCTTTCTCTTTTTCCTTTTTCTGTTTTTTCTTTTTCTTTTTAATATCATTCATCCTTGTCACGGCCATTGAGCCGCTTAAACATTTATTTCCAAACTTCTTTTGATTTTCTCTGTTCTAATGATGAATGATGAATTTATTTGCTTGCTTAATTTATGCTGCCCATGGCTTTTGCAAACAAAGCCACTCTAAAACAAGAATGTAAGAATATGCCATGCCTCCATGGCAGCACCAAATCTTATGTATGCTTCCATAGTTCAAGCCAAAACTCTTCGTGTCCTTATTGAAAGGAAAACAACTTGAATCAAATAATATACAAATGTCTACAAACTTGGATCATGTAGATGTGGAGGCAGAACTATCCCATGCCTCCCACACAGTCTAATAATACGGTTTCAAGTAGATGCCATTGATCTTGCACGGATGCAACTCCCCATTCAAAGACTTTAACCAATAAGAACCCCCATTACAAACTTTATGAACTTGGAATGGTCTTTCCCAATTAAGGCACCATTTACCATATATGGGATCCTTCTTGCCAAGTGGCAGCATAACCTTCCAAACCCAGCTTCCTTCAGCTAAATTCTTTTGTTTGACCTTTTTGTTGTAAGCTCGTGCCACTTTGAGCTTCTATACCTTCATCACATCCAATGCTGTCAGCCTTACCTCATCAAGGTCCTCCAACTCATTGATCATGGCCTCATTGTATTCCCTAGAATTTAAGCCATTTTGAATTGCAATCCGTAGAGACCTTCTCGTTAATTCCATAGGTAAGACAACATCATGACCATAAGTAAGAGAGAATGGGATCACCTTAGTTGAACTTCATTGTGAGGTTTTGTATGCTTAGAAAGTATCTAAGGGGTTCATGCCATATTTTGGGATTATCATCAACCATTTTCTCTAGGATATTGATAATAACTTTATTAGATGCCTTTGCTTGCCCATTTGCTTGTGCATAATCCGGAGCTGAGTTAAGCAAATGACATCCCATGTCTTTTGCAAAGGCCTTTACTTGAGATCCAACAAAGGCAATACCTTGATTAGAAGTGATAGTTTCTGGAAAGCCAAACCTGTGGATCAGATCTTCGTTTATGAACTTGATGACATCTCCTTGCTTGACCTTCTTCATAGGCCTTGCCTCCACCCATTTAGTAAGGTAGTCTATAGCAACGATTATGAAATAATGGCCTTTAGAAAAAGGTGGATAAACTTTCAAAGCCAAATCAATTGCCCATCCATGAAAAGGCCATGGCTTAACAATAGGATGTAATTCAGAAGTTGGTGCTCGTTGCAAAGGACCATGCAGCTGACAGGCTCTACAACCCTTTGCATAATTAATCCAATCCTTGAGAATAGATGGCCAAAAGAAACCATGCTTTCGAATTAGCCATCTCAT